TGTTTTCCGGCGCGCTGTCCTCCCTCTATTCTTCGGCTCCGGTGGTCGACCCTGTTCTCCTCCGGGCAGTCAGTGCGTCGCACATGCGCCAGTTCGTTCCCCTTGCGGCTCCGGTGCAGCCTGTCTGACATCCACCCCCCTCGCCTGGCAAAGCCAACCTGACCATCGATGGCCGGGACGAGATCTCCTTCATCTCCGATCGTCTGGACATGGCCGAGAGCCTGCGTGATAACCCCACCAAGTGCGCCCCCCCCCCCTCCTTGCCTCGCTCTGGCGCCCCTCCAGGGCTCCCTTCTGACCCTGCTCTCTCTCTCTCTCTCTCTCCCTCCCCCCCCATGTGTCGGCCTGTTGGCTCTCACGCAGGTCCGTCGACTTCGTCAAGGTGATCATCCAACGCATCAACGACCTGTTTATGAACGATTCCCCCAGCATGGACTACATCTCCCTCGAGCATGTTGTCTCGGTGCGTGCGCTTGCTCTCCTCCCCTCCGCTCCCCGTGTCTGGCGATCCGGACTGACCCCCGCATCCGCTCAGCTGCTGGATCTGTGTGTCAAGAATTCCGGCCAGGCTTTCCACCAGGCCTTCCACGATAACCGGACCCTGCTCGATCGTCTGGTTGTGCTTCTCCACGCTCGCGTGCGTCCATCGGAAGGCACCTTCTTCGGCCATTTGTTCGGCCTCCCTCTGCCCTCCCCTTCCCGCCGGGCCGTGTATTGACTTCGCCTCGCGCTCCCCCTTCGGGCCTCTCCCCCTTGCGGCCGATAGAACGCGCCCCCTTCACTGAAGAACATGCTGGCCACCACATTCGGCGAGTGGGCATACCAAAACCCCCCGGCGCCCAACCAGCCCAATGACACGCTGAGCTTCCTGCGTAATGAGGCCCACTCGCTCAAGGCCCAGGGCGTGCCGATTGTCTTCCCGAGCATCCGGAGCAGTAGCTCCGGCAGCGGGTCCAGCAGCGGCAGCGGCAGCAGCAGCAGCAGTTCCACCAAGCGGCGCTCCTCCCGGTCCAAGCGTTCAGGCTCCTCCAAGTCCGGGTCCTCCTCGTCCTCGTCCTCGCGCCCGACCGACGGCATCGACCCGGTGGCCCAGTCCGAAGAGGAGCAAATTGCCCTGGCCATTCGTCTGTCCCTCGAAGAGAGCGGCCATCAGAACCTGCCGGAGCAGGCCCCCGTGCCACACCTGGTCGCCGCCCACCATTCGCAGGTAGGTTACCTGGCGGTCCTCCTGGCTGGGCCTTTTTCTTGCTTTTTTTTTTTTTCACTGCTAAGCCCTGGCTGGGGTTCTTCTTTCTCACCCTCCCCATCGCGCCTGCTCTCTCTCTCTCATCTCTGATCTCTCATCTCTGATCTCCGATTTCTTCCCCCCTCTCCCCTCCTCCTCCATCAACCCCTCTAGGCATCGGCGTTTGCCCCCGGGCAGCTGGTCATGGCTGTCCTCCCCCTGCGCGGGGAGTTGACCTTTGCGGTGGGCGACATCTTGCGCATCAGCGAAACCGCCAGCGCGGCCCACTGGCTCAAGGGTCATGTGGTGTTGGATGCGCAGTTCCGGCCGCCAGCGCACGAAGCCACCGGCACCTTCATGGCTCAGTATGTGCGCCCACTTGGGCCGGAGGAGACCGCCCAGGCTGAAGCGGTCCTGCTGGCGGCCGGTTCTGGCGGCGGCCCGGGCGGCTCGTTTGCCGAAGGGCGCGACGTTGTCTTCCCCACCATGGACTTTGTGCAGCTGCTGACCCGGGCACAGGCGCGCTTCGCCTCGACCGAGCCGCCCATTCGCGACCTCCAGGCTCGTGTACGTGTGCATGGGGGTGTGCCCACCCGCATGGGGCCCCTGGTCGATCCTCTTCTGTCGGCCGTCTTTTCCGCCTCCCCTCCTGGACTCTCGCTTTTTTGATCTTTTTGTGGTCCTCCTCCCTCGCCCTCTCTCCCTCTCTCGCCCATGCGCTCACCCACTCGTTCTTTTTTTCTGCCCATACTGTTGCATCTTGGCCACCGCTCAGCTGGCCTCCCTGCAACTGGAGAATGGCGTGGCCCCGGAGCAGCTCAACGAAATCAATACCATGGAGTCCCGGGCGAAGTCCGTGCGGCCGGAAATTGTCGCCGGACTGGTGGACATCACGGATGCCCGGTCCAAGCTTGGCCGGCTGCGGGAGGAATTCCTCGAGGCGGTGTCCCTCTATGAAGGCCTGCTGGAGCAGGCAGTGTCCCATGCGGCGGCGGCGGCCGGGCCGGTTGGCGGCCCTGGGCCCGGGGCCACCATGCACCAGGCCTTCTCCCATCCGGGGGCCGGTCCGTCATCCTACCCCCCGCCCTCGCCGTCGGCGGTCTTCCCGAATCCCAACCTGGCGGGCGGGTCCTTCGGTGGGGCGCCGGGGCAAGCTGCTCACCATATGCATGGCCCGGCTCCCGGCCACGGCAGCGGCCAGCACCCCCACCACTACGGTCAGCAGGGGCCGCCAAATCGGTCGGGCCATGGCGCCGCCGAGGCGCATGGTGTTGGCTCGCGGCCGAGTCCGTCAGTCTCGTATCAGCAGCAGCCGCCGCCGCCGCCGCATCAGCAGCCGCCGCCGCACCCGCAGCCGCATCACCCCCACCATCATCAGCAACATCACCATCATCAACACCACCAGCCGCAGGCGCAGCCCCATCAGCCAGAGCAGCAGCGCCCGCCGGCCTCCTACGCTGGTCAGCCGCCGCACCATCATTCTCCCCAGCCGACACCGCCGGGCCAGTATCCGCGGGCATCAGGCCAGCAGCCGCATCAGGCCTCTCCCCCTCAGCACCCGCAGCATCAGCTCCCTCAGCAGGGCGAGCCCGTGCCCCCGCCCCATCTTGCCCCCTCGTCTCCCTATCTTACGGCTTCCCACTATTCGGCTGAGCAGGTGCAGCCGTCGCATCCCCACCAGCCGTCGCATCCCCACCAGCCGTCGCATCCCCACCAGCCTCAGCAGCCTCAGCACCATTATCAGCCCCAGCAGCCTCAGCAGCCCCAGCAACATTATCAGTCTCACCAGCCTCACCAGCCTCACCAGCCTCATCAGGCTCACCAGCCCCACCAGCCGCACCAGCCCCACCAGCAGACGGCTTCGGCTCCAGCTCCCCCGGTGGTCGAGCAGCAGCCATCCCTGCTTGACGTCTCGGGCCAAGGCACAGCTTCCGGCCCCGCCTCTCAGCAGCCACCTCAGCCGCAGATTAGCTCTCTTGACGCCTTGTTCAAGGACATGTCCCTGCTGACGCCGGCCATGCCGGTCACCGCGGCGGCCTCGCCCTCCCCCCCGCCATCGTCCTCGGTGGGCAATGCGGCCCCCGGGCCAGGCCAGCCCGGCAGCCCGCCCCACCCGAGCTACCACCCCGCGGCTGATCTCGGCTCGGGCCTCGGTTTGGAGCCCGCCTCGCCGAAGGCCGCTGCCCGCGTCGGTGCCTCGGTGTTCGATGGTCGGCCGAGCCAGTACCCGCACCTGGCAACTGGCCCCCACCCATCGCACCATCACCCCCCGGGCATGATGATGTCGTCCCCCCCGCCGCAGAGCCACGCATCCAACATCCAGCCCCCCCCCGGGGCCGGTCCGCATGGCTTCCCCCAGGCGTCGCAGCACCCCCCCGGCGCGCCGGAGCAACCGCAGCCGCAGCCGCAGCCGCAGCCGCAGCCGCAGCAGTACCCCGGCACCGGCCCATATCCTCCTCACCACTCCGGCCATCCTCACCAGCCGCACCAGCAGCCACTACCGCCGTCGCAGCAGCAGCAGCAGCAGCAGCAGCAACACTATTACAACGGCGGATCGCCCTCCAGCTATGCGGCCATGCCGGCGATGCCTGCTGCCGCCCCGGTGTCGGCCCCGGCGCCAGCCCCGCCGAAGCCGGCCGAAATCCGTGCGTCCCCACTGCCGGCCCCTGTGCCCGACATTCTGCCGGGGCGCATATTGCGCGCATACCCGCTCGCGCCCCGAAGCACCCCCACTGACCCCTTTCCACGCACTGTTGCCACGCGTCACCGGACCATGCGCGCCCGGCCACGTACACACACACACACACACACACACACACACACACACACACACACACACACACACACACACACACACACACACACGCACGCGCTTGTGTCCCGGGACGTCCAGCCAATCTCATTGACCTCTGAGCCAGGGCGAGAGGAGACATGTGTAACACCCGGCGGAGAAGACGCGCCCCGCCGCACCGCCGGGGGGCGGGAACAGCCGCGCCGCCCGCTCTCCGTGGCCCCTTTTTTGTGCCCCCC